CTACTATTCGGTTGCTTACGAACGATATAACATATACATTTGCACATAAACACCAAGTATGCAGTAGAACTTTTTGAACTACCAGTGGTCAAAAATGCGTGCAATGCTTTGACAGAACGAGGTCGTTATAGAAATATAACATTTAGTTTACCATCTTCTATTGTTCCATTATATTTCGATGAAGAGAAAAATTTTGTTTTTAAAGAGGATTATTTAGAAGAAGTAATTCAAGATCAGACTCTTGAATCTTCAGTTTTATTGGAAAATCCATTGGATAACCAAATCGTATTGCTTCAGCTTATAGAAAAGCTGACTACTAGATTGGATGCTAGGGAACATAAATCGCTCAACGTGTCTCAGATTCAAAAGCAATTTGTTATAGATAAATTTCAAGGGAGAAAGAATGTGAACGACATGAGGTAGTCAATGATGAAAATAAAATACGTATTTTGCGTTTGTTTTTGGAAAAAAATGCATCGGATTGGTATGCTTCAACTCTATGTAAGCTTTCTTTAGAAAGAGAATGGATAACCTGGCGTGAAAACTTTTTAGAGACTTATAGTGATAAGAGTTGGCGGTCAGTGCACCTTGCTTATACTTTCAAATACATGAGCAGTTCGCTGATTGATTATGCATTGAAAAAGGAGCGTCTTTTATTATAAACCGAGCCATTGATGTCAGATACATCTCGAATAAATCATATAGTTGTTGGTCTTCCTTTTAACATCCAAGACCGTTTAGACAAAGAAGAGATATTGACAACTGAAAAACTTATGAATCAGCTTCGTAAGTATGTTTATACTTATCCTAAAGTAAAGAGGGACAATGTTTGGTCCTCGAGTGCAGTATTAGAAGATAAGACTCAGAAATTGAGGGATAAGAAGGCATGTACTATTTGTGAGTCTCATGGTTATCCAGGTCGTTTCCATAAAGTTGAATATTGTAGATTTAAGGAACGCAGTACGGATAATCGAAAAGTGAACCTAACAGAGGTTGCAGACATTTCGATTAATGCTCAAGAAGAACAAAAAAACTGGATTATACACCACCAATTAGATTATCTGTTACAATTAATGATCATAAAGTTACCGGAATTTATGACAGTGGTTCCAATATCACACTTTTTGCGTTTGTTTTTGGAAAAAAATGCATCGGATTGGTATGCTTCAACTCTATGTAAGCTTTCTTTAGAAAGAGAACGGATAACCTGGCGTGAAAACTTTTTAGAGACTTATAGTGATAAGAGTTGGCGGTCAGTGCACCTTGCTTATACTTTCAAATACATGAGCAGTTCGCTGATTGATTATGCATTGAAAAAGGAGCGTCTTTAATTATAAACCGAGCCATTGATGTCAGATACATCTCGAATAAATCATATAGTTGTTGGTCTTCCTTTTAACATCCAAGACCGTTTAGACAAAGAAGAGATATTGACAACTGAAAAACTTATGAATCAGCTTCGTAAGTATGTTTATACTTATCCTAAAGTAAAGAGGGACAATGTTTGGTCCTCGAGTGCAGTATTAGAAGATAAGACTCAGAAATTGAGGGATAAGAAGGCATGTACTATTTGTGAGTCTCATGGTTATCCAGGTCGTTTCCATAAAGTTGAATATTGTAGATTTAAGGAACGCAGTACGGATAATCGAAAAGTGAACCTAACAGAGGTTGCAGACATTTCGATTAATGCTCAAGAAGAACAAAAAAACTGGATTATACACCACCAATTAGATTATCTGTTACAATTAATGATCATAAAGTTACCGGAATTTATGACAGTGGTTCCAATATCACACTTGTAAATTCAAAAATTATAGAAGATGTTAAGAACAAGATGTGCAGGAGTAAAAATACATTTAAGAAAATTAGTGGTGTGCAAAAAAGTTTTAATAAAATTAAGTTACCAATAAATATTCACAAAATCAAACATGAAATGGATGTACATGTCATAAAGAATGATAATTTCTCTTATGATGTATTATTGGGGTTGGATGCAATAAAAAAGTTTAGGCTAATACAAAATGAGCAATTCGATATCCTCCAACGTGTACAGGATGATCTTGTAGAGAGAGTCGAGCATTTGGGAGGCAATATGCCAGGCAAAGTGAATTACTTTGAAGAATATTCTCCAATTAATTTAGATAAATTGCAACATTTAGATAATGACAAGAAAAACTTAATCTGTAAAATATTGAAGGAAAACTTATTAGTATTTGCTAAACATAAATATGATGTTGGACAGGTACAACATTCAGAGGCTCATATTAAACTTTCATAAAATAAATATATTTCAAAGAAACCTTATAGATGCTCCATTTTGGATGAAAGGAAAATAGAGAATCAAATAACTAAGTTGCTTAAAGCTGAATTAATAGAAGAATCAGAATCACCATATGCAGCACCAGTGACTTTAGCGTTTAAGAAAGAAGAAGGTCGTCGTTCTAGACTTTGTGTTGATTACCGTAAACTAAATAAAATTTTGGTGCCGGAATCACAACCTTTTCCAAGAATTGAAGACATAATAGTGAAAAGTAGAAATTGTAGATGGTACTCAGTTTTTGATATAAATTCGGCTTTCTGGAATATACCAGTGAGATCAAAAGATAGATATAAAACGGGCTTTGTTACCCAATCGGGTCATTACCAGTGGAAAAAGTTACCTTTTGGGTTAAAAATCTCGCCTGAAATATTTTAGCGGATCCTAGCAAATGTGATACGAAGACATGGACAGCAAGATTTTTGTATAAATTTTGAGCAGCATTTAAGTCACATTAACAGATAATTTTAGGTAGTTCGAATGGAAGGTTTCCGTTTGAAGTGGTCTAAATGTAGGATAGCTCAGTTTTCAGTTAACTATTTGGGTCATATCCTCGGTTATAATTCTGTAAGGCCACATCATGACAATCTCAGATCAATCAAGGATTTTCCAAAGCCACAGAATAAAAAGAACATACAGCAATTTTTGGGAAAAGTAAATTTTTATCATAAATATATAGCTATATATATGCTAGTTAGCTAGGAGTGGGAGCAGTTCTTAAACAAATTCAAGATGACAACGAGCTACATCCAGTAGCCTATTTTTCTAAGAAATTTACTCCCTCGCAAGCGAAGTAAAAGGCGATTTATCTGGAGTGTTTAGCTATAAAAGAAGCTTTACGTTATTGGCAACATTGGCTTATTGGACACAAATTCAGAGTTATTTCAGATCATAAACCTTTATAAAACTTAAAAATAAAAGCTCGAACCGATGAAGAACTTGGGGATTTAGTGTATTATTTGTGTCAATATGATTTTTGCACAACTTACTCGCCTGGAAAGATGAATCAGGAAGCAGATGCTCTATCCAGAAATCCAGTTCTAGAATCGTTTGAGAATGTTGAAGTTATATTAAAAGTAGTTAACTTAATTTCAATCGAAGATCTTCGGCAGGATCAATTACAACACCAAGATGAATTAATTTTTGAAAAACGGACTTTTAAGAAGGGGGAATTCATATATAAAAGAATAAGGAACAGAGAGCGGATTTTTGTGTCTACAGAATTTGGATTGGATTTAATTAATAGGATTCATTCTTACTATGGTCATATAGGAAGTAGTCATATGGTAATTAAGATACGTCCATTCTATTATTTTAAGCGGATGGATGCGCTCGTTCAGGAATTTTGTGACAAATGTGATATTTGTAAGAGGAACAAATCTAGAAAAAGTAGATATATTGGGAGTTTATTACATCTGGGTCCAGCTAAGGAGCCTTATGAGATAATGTCACTGGATACTATAGGAGGTTTTGCAGGGAATCATTCTCCAATGCGTTATCTACATCTTTTAGTTGACCACTTTAGTAGATTTGCATTCACTTATGCTCCGAAAGGCCAGCAAGCAAAAGATCTCATTCGTTTTCTACGTCCTATTTTGGAGAAGATAGGGTGAAAATCCTCTTGGCTGATCAATATGCGAGTATTAATTCTACAGAATTTAAAAGGTTTCTGCATGAATCAAACACTAGTAAATCGACTTCGGTGTAAAAACAGTGAACAACCGCAGCGTCCATGGTCTAAACTTGCAATAGAATGTACGGAAGAGTATAATCAGACAACTCATAGTGTAACGAAATTTTCGCCTTTGTACTTGCTCACAGGAAATCAATCTTCTATACTGCCTAATATTCTATGCCAGCCTCAGGATTTAGTCCAGGATAGATTGCAGTCATTTGAGAATTCTCAAAAAGACCACTTGATTAATAAAACGAGGGTAGATCGAAATAAGAAAGAACATGAATTTCAAGTGGGAGATTTAGTCTACGTCGACATGGGTAATCGTCTTAATCGGAAAAAATTGGATCGACCAAGAAGAGGTCCTTGTAAAGTTTTAGACAGAGTGTCGTCAACGATTTATGAAATTAGTTATGGACGTCGTAGATCTCAGGCAAATTTTGTACATAGTAGCAAACTTTTGCCTGCCCGAAGGGGGGAGATGTAAAAGTGAAGATTCTACTTTTAAAGTATCCTACTTTCGGGTGATAACATTGTTGGGGTTGATTTGTCACAGAATATTTATTTAATTTATTTTTGTGTTTGTGGATTTGTCAACAGACTGAATTAAAGACTATAAAAACCGATTTTCTTTTAAGGTAATTGTAACATTGTATTATTATTTAGTGTTCTTTTAAGGAGAAACAACGGTCTATAGTCATTTAATTTTAATCTATCCTGTAATCCAACTTATACATATATATTGTATATTATAATTTTTTCCCTTAAGAAGTACCAACAAAAGCGAGAAAAAGAGCAACAGGTTCAAAGTAGACATTATATATATATATAGATCTATGTCGACATATACCTACTAAATAAATAAATAGAAATGACAACATTATAAATCTATATAGTGTTTGTTATTGTTTATTAAGAGGAATTAAATTATTTTTCGACTTCGGATTGTTATACAACAAAAAGTTAAGTGGATACTTAGTCTGGTTTATTTTCTTTAATTTAACTAACCTCTAATTCGGTTATCCATCACACCGCTAGTTACGCAGTGTTGCCAGACTATAAATATTCTCGCAGACATGGCCATTAAATGTTCATGTGGTTGCAATACCTTTGATGAAGAGCACAAGATTGTTATATGTTGTGTATGTAACAAACCAACCAAATACACCTGTGCCGATCTTACTGCCTTTGAAGCCAGGAAAATCAAAACAAAAGGAGGACTTTCGTGGTCCTTCGCTATGTGCAATGAAATGGGCAATGATATTAACAGCTTAAAAGCCATCATTATTAGTTTAAAAAATGACATACAAGAACTTAAAACTCAAGCCTTACCTACGTCTAATAATTTTAGATTTGAAGAAATTATACAAGATATTAACGAGCGTGAAAAAAGAAAATCCAATATTATTGTATATAATTTACCAGAGAGCTTAGCTAGTTCTACCTCGGATAAATTAATTGAAGATAAGTCAGTTGTGGAAAATGTTTTTAAAGCGCTTTCTTCAGGTACCAATGTTGAAAACCTGAATAACTATCGGTTAGGTAAGCAGAACCCCAACGGTCATTCTCGTCCCATCAAAATTGAAATGAAGGATGTTACCCTGTTCAAGATATAATTAAAAAGGCAAGAAACCTTAAAAATTCTGAATTTAAAAATTTTAGCATTTCATTAGACCGTACAAAACGCCAAAATGACTATTATAGAGAAATAAAAATACAACTGGATAATAGAATTGAATCTGGGGAATCGAATTTAAGAATAGGGTACAGAAATGGTTTACCCACGATTATGCATAAAAAAAAACTAAAGAGGCCCAACGAATCCATCAACATATACTACCAAAATGTGCGCGGATTACGATCAAAAGTGGATGAAGTTTATTCATTTATTTCTGAACTAAACTTTGACTGTATAGCCTTGGTGGAAACATGATTAAACCGTGATATTAATAATTGTGAATATTTCTCTGATATGTATACTGTGTTTCGTTCTGACAGAGTCTATGCCAGAACCGAAACTTCTCGGGGTGGGGGAGTGCTTCTAGCTTTTAATCCTTCATTTAATGTTAATTTGATAAGCTTCACAGAATTCGACTTAATTTCTCCCTTAATTGATATAGTTTGTTGTAAATTGGATCTTAGGCACATACTGTATTATACCTTTGCAATTTAAATCCCCCCTCAGACAAGTAACATAGATGAAGAATACTTTCTTGAAATGTTTGAATCATCCCTAATTAATTTAAAAAACATAATTATTTTATTATAGGAGACTTTAATGTTCCTAACTTTATTCAACATAACCTTGACGATTACAAAACACGTATTTTACAAAACTTTTTAGATTTTAACTCTGTCAATATAATAATATTGTAAATGATTATGGCAATATTCTCGATTTGTGTCTGTCGGATCTTATATTTTATTTTTTTTGTAAAGTTCTTAAGGAAACTCTTCCCATGGTAGCTGAGGACAAATATCACCCATCTCTTTTAATAAATATTAATACAAATTTTGTTAAACATTACAACTTTTCAAACAACTCTAACAACAAGAGTTATAATTTTAAAAAAGCTAATTTAATTGGACTGTATGACTGATTGGAATTTTCTTAATAATTACAATGATGTTAACGTTGCTTGTGAATCTTTTTATACTCAGCTGTATTTAATTTTTGATCAATTTGTACCTAAATTTTATAAATCTAAACGCAAATATCCAATATAGTACACTGTTGAGATAATTAACAATATAAAGATTAAAGAACAACACCACTTAAATTTTAAAAAACATAACAATGAACAATATTTAAATGAGTTTAAATGAATTAAAAAAAAATTAAAATCTCAAATTTGTAATGCTTACAAAAACTGTCTGTCCACTCTAAGTTGGCGGAACTAAGGAATGTTGTAGTTTAGATATTAAAGAATTGTCGTACTGTGTGCTTTTAAAACAGATTTTATATTATAAATAATACTAGTACATATTATATACTAGTATTATTTATAATATAAAATCTGTTTTAAAAGCACACAGTACGACAATTCTTTAATATCTAAACAACAAAATTCCTTAGTTCAGCCAACTTAGAGTGGACAGACAGTACATTGTTGCTTGTGACCTAAGTTATATTATACTTTATGTTTCATATTATTGTTGTTTGTTGCTGTACATTGATAATTTTATCAATTTGTACTTCTCGCCCGAGTCATTTATGTAGGTGAATAATCTCAGCAATATGAAAATATAATTAATTATATTCATATTGATTACTTTGATTTTGTTGTATTATTTATATTGTTGAGATGTGCGACACGTATGCCTGTCTGGATTGTATATGTGGGTTTTTAAGGTTCTACCTTATTAACTTAAATCGATAATACTTTTCAAATATAAATGTTTTTTTATATTATTAATGTACAGTAGCAACAATATTAACTATTGTATTAGTTGCCTTTATTAATAAACTTTTTCTTAATTTAATACTTTTTGTTTGCTTTTTAAATATATTTTTATTTGCTAAGTTCTTACGTATCCAGAACCTTATTCACAACAAAAACATTTAATTTCTTTAAACTAGACGGTCACGTGTTTTGGCCAAAGGTAGTTTTTTGTAGATTTAATATTCGTTTATAATTTTTAACGTGCACCCCTAGCCCCGTTCGTTACAAAATTCACTTACGTCTTATTTTGACTTGCTCAATCTTTTCCTAAATTTAGGCCACTAAGTTTAGAGATACCTTGTATATTTAATAAATATGAAATACACATTTTTTTTCATTTTACAGCTCTGGGGAGGGCGCTCGACTCCCTGTATCCACATCTGTATAAGTTGACAATGTCAACTTGACATGTGATTTTCTCTTAGTATTATTGGCCATCCAAATTTTAAACGTTTACAATAAATGAGTCGCAAAATCTTATGTTAAGCCAGAACCTACCTGTATCTCTGATCTCTCTCTGTTCAATAAACAATAATTTTATTTTATTTAGTTTCTTTACCTATTCCGAGGTTATTTTTAAATTTTTTAGTGCCATTCTTAAAAATTATTCGAAAAAATATATTGTACATAAATATAAATTTATATATGTGTATTTTAAATAATATTAGGATTATCTTAACTAATTTTTCAATGCAACTTGTTTTCTTAAAAGTATTATGATAACATTGTTTTAAAATTTAACTTAATTTATTCTCAGGTAAAATACTACCTAAATAGGTAATTACTTATATTTAATTTGCTGAAATTACCTTGTAATTTTGGGTTGTTATAAAATAATTAAAAATAACGAATATGGACGAAAGAGAATAATAAAAGTTAATAAAAATAGTGAAAATGATAACAAAGATAAACAAACGTGGGAAACGCTAGGCCTGCTAAAAAGAGCCGTTATGAAAACGGCAACACTGTGGACAACGAATGCTCTTCGCGCGACAATTGTAGACCGCTGACATAACAACTTGCGATTTTCTTATGTTTTATGTCCTGCGATCGGACCGCTGCCCGGTGGGCTGACCTTGGACAAAAGTACTTCAGGGGTCACTTTTTACTAGAAAATTTTTAAACATGCAGTCATATAGAAAAAACTTCAAGGAATTTAAATATGTTTTCATTTTTGTTATATTTTTTTTTTATTAGAAATTTATAGCCCGTCAAAGTTGATGAATTTTTGGGATTTAAGTTTATTGAAAAAAGGCAATTTTTAATCATCTATAATATAGATTTTATGTAATAAAAACCATTCGCCGAATTATATCAAAATTACTATCAAATTAAAAATTAGTATACTATAGCAGTTAAACAAAATAAAAAAATAAACAAATATCAAACATGTATAGCAGTTAAACAAAATAAAAAAATAAACAAATATCAAACAAACCTAGGAATTTTCGATTTTAAATAGTGTTAAAAGGACTAAAATTTCACCCCAAAAACGAGCCCATTAGCTGAGATAAGCCCGATATTATGTTGAATCAAATCCTCTAGAAGACAATGTTGCAAAATAACACAATTTTTTTCCTTGTTTAATTGTTATTGGCGATTTTGTACGCAAAATTATAAAGTTGGACCTCTAAATTTCGAGTAAACGCGTATACAGGGTGAGTCAGGAGAAGGTGATTCTACAGATTATTTTGAGTCGTTTGAACCCCATATTGCCTAATCCAAAAGTTATTAGTTTTGGAGTTATTTGATTTTTTGTGATTTTGGTAAAAAATTGTTTCCAGGTTTACATTTTTTAAAATTTCTCAATAAGAATTAAAGTTAATTAAACGATTCTTTTTTTAGTAGTTAGCCCATACAACAGTATAAAATAAAATTTTATTCGCGAATTTGGAAGACTTGTTAAGTTCATCAGGATTTTTTTTATTTCACTATACACTTTGCGTGCAAATTGTTTAAAAAAACTTTCTTAATGTATTACCTTTCGAATGATGTATAATATGTCCATAAAAACTATTATTTTTGGATAGAAAATGTCACCTTTGTAAGGCACATACAGGTTTTAGTTCACCCATTAGTTCACCATTAACAGTTCCAGGTAGTAATGGGTCTTGATGTATTATTTGTATTATTAAAGGTAAAATTTAACTAATATGGAAGCAAATTAAAGAAAATTTTACCTGGAATAATAATTATTAGGTATTAACTATTCTTGAGGTATCAGGAATTGTGTATTTAAATTATTGCGAAATAAAGGTTTAATTCATATTAATTCAACATGCCAAACTTTTCAAATGTTTGTATATGGATTTATATGGATTTTGTAATGGAAACGCAGCCGAAGCTCGACGAGAATATCAAGTAAGGTTCCCACAAAAACGCGTTCCTAATGAAAGAGTATTCAGTACAACATATCATCGTATAGCTGAAACCGGCAGTGTTATACCAAGACCACGCATTGGAGCTCCTGAAGTTAATGTAAATGTTGATGAAGACATTCTAGAAAGATTTGAAGAAGATCCAACTACCAGCACAAGAAAAGTAGCTTCTGAGTTGGGTAACACAAAGCAAGGTTGCTCCTGTAATGAAACGTTCAGGCCAGCATGCATTTCATTATACACCTGTCCAGGGTCTAGAGGAAGGTGATTCCCAACGAAGAATCAGCTTTTGCAGATATTTATTAAATGCAGATTTTGATAATCCCAGGTTCTTGTCTAGAATTTTGTGGACTGATGAGTCTAAATTTAGTAGAGAAGGTATTACTAACTTTCACAATTTACACTTCTGGGCACATGATAATCCACATAAGAAAAGAATAACTAGTTTTCAAAGAAAATTTAGT